TGGTATTTTTGGTTTAAACGTTACAAACACTGAAGTCTTTTACTCTACCTTAACCCTAGCATTAGCAGATGACTGTGTGAGGTGACTCGTCACGCACGTGTAGACGAAGTCATCGATTTTGTGATATTGGGATCGTTCTTGGATTCTCGACAAGCCAGAATTACATGTAGGTCATATCCATATGTATCTCGACATCGACACAGGTTCCCAACTCATTGTTAGTGCCTCGTAATTAAAATACAGCTTCATAGTAGAAATGAAAACGAGGTCACACGACCAGTCGTAGAAATTCGGCAGTTGCTACCCTGTACCACTGGTAGATTTTCTAGTGAAGATCTTGGTCTGCGAATCAAGGGTCCTCCCTCCCATCGTCAACAATGACGTCGAGTAGCACGGACTCGGGCTGAAATAACAGCTGCACCGGTGACTGGACCGCAGTAGAAAGAGTAGATCATAATATTTCCGCTGATCGCACGCGATCTACCCATTCACGATGTCAAGAAGAATACACAGGACCGAAGGATCCGTAGTCTAGTCTAGACTAATTGTCCGTAGGTGAGTTCATGCTCCTTTGGATCATCATCATTCATGACCTTGTGGCAATGGGGTCTTTTTCGTTTTTGGAGGAAACAGATACCGTGGATTAGCAGAGTGGAGGAGGTCTCGGATGCATAAAGTTCCACGTGGAATCGGACGAGATGGTTGCACCGAACACAATTTTAGCGTTAAACATAGGATGACAGGATGGAATAGCTTCAATATCAATACCCCAGTAGACTTTTTGCAGAAACATTAAACCCAGCACCTGTTTCTCAGGCTGGACTGACTATTTGGATTGAATGTAACCAAGCTTTCCTCGCCAAGCAAAAGAATGGCATGTTTCAGTGCCAAAAAAGAAAGCAAAAAAGCAAAAAAGCAATGTTTTATGGGCTGTAAAATGCCCTGTTTTTTACACCCCTGGCCCCTGCATCCTTCGTCCCAAATTCGGAAGCGAGATGCGAGATGGGGACGCTCCATTGGTTATTCCCGGCCTTGGTTAGTTTCATTCCGTTTAAGGGTCTGAACTGAAAGAGCCGGATAAATATGCCAATGCAACCAAGAAATTCAATTCAATTCATTATGAAGATCCCTTATATGAGAGACAATTATTACTACCACAAAACCTCATAGGTGGGAATCACTCAACAATTACCATACACTAGATAGCATCTACCAGAAGTACCTAAACTAAAAAGAAAGAGATATCCACATTACTAACACAATGGAGATGACATCCCCATCCAGAGTCCAGACTTGTCTAGCTTTGGGGCAGCTAATCTTAAGGGTCTTTTGGTAACATCCAAGCTTTTTTTTGCTGCTGCGCTTCTTGTTATTAGCCAATATACTGGCTGACTTGACTTTGGCTGAAATGATGCCCAGCTGGCGTTTCTGGCAGAATTGGCATTGATATGACAAACTAGTGCGACTTGACCAGTATCAACAAGAAAGGCAATGTCTAGAGTCTGATATAGGGGATCGTCTTATTATTATACCAAACTTGATATGCAGGTTCGCCTCCAATGTATGTCTTTAACACTTTAGACTAGCAACTCCGACAGCAAGTTATAGGCTATACTCATGCTGTGTTGGAACACTCAACGTCTGAACTTGGAACCCCTTAGCATGACAACAAGGTCAGAATTAGTCTCAGATCTATCCGCAATACAGTGAACGAATCGCCTATCTATGCCCCAACAGTCAAATCTCCAATACGCAGACAAGAATACGGTAGACACCGGCAGATTTGTAGGTAGTAACCTCGGGGTATTCGGCTGTGGTTGGGATTATGCCAAGAAAAACCACACCACTAAAGGTGTACCCCTTCCCTTAATTCTCCCTCCATTTCTTACTACATACTTCACTTGGTCAATTCATCTACATCTTTCGACTCAACAATCAGTTTCAGTACAATGGGACCAGGATAAAGGGGAAGAACGAGAACCACCATCACATATAGCGGGCGTTCTCTCCCCCATCCTGTCTCCCCGCTACTCGACCGACCGGCCCCTTTCGGTGACGCCGTTACTCATCTGGATCCCAGCAGCCCCGCGTGTGTGTTGTACTAAAACACCAGTCAACTAAACCGCTAAACACCACCAGCCATTCGCTCTCCTATTCATTGTCCATTAGCACGGGCGACCTCGTATGTCGCAAACCGCCATTACTGTCGCGTCACCTCAGGCAAAGGAATCTTGCATACGCTCGAATAGCCCAATGAGCCAGAATGGCAGCACGGCGGCAGCCAAACCCCCCGCGGGTCAAAATGCAACCGCACGTGCAGGAATAAAGAAGATATCCAGGCTCTTTGCCTTTACACGACTTGGCCGCGGCCGCCCGGAAAGTCCCCATGCGCATATCCAAACCGAAGACTCTGCGTCTACGAGAGAAAGCTCCCCCGACGTCCACCAGCTTACTTCCCGACGGCGCCGCGGCGCAGGACCAGAACCAAGAAGACCTGCGAGAAACGGTCTTAGTCGCCTTGTCGCCGACGAAGAAAATCAGGCCTGCGCTATTTGCGCAACAATCGATTTTCCCGCTCTGCTCAATTGGCGACCAGGCCAACCGCGACCCTGGATTCCGCTAGCTCACACTCTCGCAGAGTTATCTGCATGTCCATACTGCATCTTCTTTCAAGCTCTCGTGGGCAGCGAGCCGGATACCACGCGCAAGTTCACGCCTTACCTACGAATTCGCCAGGCTTTTGAGCGCCTTGGAGTCAGGGAAAAACACGAGCTTGGAGGTGCTGTGTTGTTTGAGGTCAGCACCAAGAGCAAGGTGCTACCATGGGGCTATATCGTACGACTTATCGAGGGAGAGGATGATATGGCTGGATACAAAGAAGCTACGCCGATGATTCGAGGCCGTGTGATACCTCCCAAGCTTGACGTTGCGTTACCCCGGATCTGGATCGACTATTGCATGTCAAATCACAAAGACTCACCATGCGCCTCGAAAGGAGTACCGATGCGGGGCCTTAAGCTTGTGGACTGTCGGAATAATCAAGTGGTGTTTGTCGATGATCTCAATGCCGAGACTATCGAGTATGTAACGCTAAGTTATGTACGAGGCACTCCGACAGATGACGAATGGGACCACAAGGGACTGCCCGAAGAGCTACCTCCATTACTCACTGATGCCATATCCGTGACCAAGTCTCTTGGATTCCGTTACCTCTGGATCGACCGGTTCTGTTTCCCTCAGTTCAGCGCAATCGAAAGACGGCGGCAATTAGACAAGATGGGAGAGATTTATGCGCGATCTGCACTGACCATCATTGTTGCGGCTGGCCAAGGTGTACAAGACGGCATCCCTGGCATTAGTGTACCACGCGAGGAGCAACTATCGCTGCAGACGGAAGCTGGCTGTTTCACAACGTCGCTTACAAGGCCTGACGTCGAAGTCACCAACTCAAAATGGGCATCCCGTGGTTGGACATATCAAGAGGGTCTCATGGCGCGCCGTCGTTTGGTCTTCACCCCGTCACAAGTCTACTTCCAGTGTCAAACATTGCATTGCCACGAATCGATATCTTTCCCTCTACGAACACAACCCACCCTCAACCTTGGCCGAGTCTTTCCAGACAATGCTATTAGCAACCGTGCGAGCACCTACAAGAACATTGCCAGCGGCTATTTCAGCCGGGAATTCACCATTCCAGAAGACCGTTTAGACGCTTTTAGGGGTATTACGGACCACTATGCTCACTTAGATGATCCTCTGGACAGTCTTCTTGGCCTTCCGCTCTATCATACCAAGGACTTCAAGAACCTGCCAAATCCTAACCGGACAGACCGTCTTGCCGTTGGTCTCGGCTGGTTCTACGATCCTCCAGGAGATGCTGATTTATCGACGCATCCTATGCAGCGCCAAGGCCCATTCCCCTCATGGACCTGGCTCGGTTGGAAGATTCGACCTGATTATACTGGCCATGGACCTAATATGAACTTTTACCAAGTTGGCGACGATACACCTCTCATTGACAATGTCTCGGCTGTCCCAAACATGACTATTTCCCTCGGTTTCAAGGATGATAAGATTCTCGACTGGGAGACACAGGGCGAAGAGATTACCGCTCGCTCAACACCCATCTCCTTCCTACGTCTCACGACATACTGCTTCGAAATTCGCCTTACTGTGCCGCCTCCTCCTCCCGACACCTCAACCTCAAAATCTTCCGATAGCCCCCAAATCACACTTGCGTCGCCCGACCTCCTCGACGCCCTCCACCCTCCTATTGCTGCACTTCTCCTCCGTGCTGTGCAGTCTTCTCCAGATTCTCCCGAAGCAGCTTCGGAACCTCCACCTGGTGAGCATGAGCTCATTGGTTGCTTCATCTCTGGTCGTGACTGGAAGATTGATGAGTCTTACCAGTCTGCCAACGTCCTCATATGTGGTCGACGAAATTGGGACGATGAAGATGTACTGGTCCGTCTGGGCACACTTGAGCTCGGCGCTGGTGGCTTGCTAGGCGTTGACGAGGACACAGCCGTTGTCAAGGGAGCGATGAACAATGACAGGCGGTTAGATGTACAGCTAAAAGAGCTTGATATATACTAACACTATCTATGCACGGTGTTGCATATACATGTCCATTCTAGGGCACTTCCATTTTAGCATAGCATTCTGGGTCACATACAAAGGCATAGGGATGGCATACGATACCAATATATAAATAGTAATGTCTCGTAAGACGCCAGATAGGCAAAAACAAAAACGAACATGTGCATCAATGTTTGCACGGTCGGTACGGGGTGTTTGTCGGATGTCTGCTTATCAAGATACCATGTCATATGCAATACAGAGATGAAGCATATCGGAATAATTTATGATTAATATTCTAATTTGGACCAACTTGTTACTATTTGATTGATCCGAGGATATGTGTTAAATGATCATATAGACCCAACTCTGTGTTAATTGGAATTTCTTTCTCCTGTGCGTGTTTGCCGTATATTGGATGCTCACATGCCCATATCCTGAATTGTCCTTTTGGTCAAGTCATCTTGAACCCAACCCACGATCCGATTACTGACATCCCCAACCAACTTCTCATAATGCGACCCTGAGAAGAACAGACCACAGTGTGCGCCAACCTCGTCCACATCTGCCATGTAGATATCGACCCATGCTGGATCTTCAACTCTGCCGCCTTTTGTAGGCAAGTTGCAGAACTTGCGCAGCTTTTTTGGTTTTCCTGACTTGAGACCACGGGCCTCTGCCACAGCCTCAGCTTCTGCTTCCCGTTGACTTTCCTCTTCTTTTGCTTTGAACTGCTGGTAATCTTCGTCTCCATCAAGTTCGTTTTGAGCTTGCTTTTCTCGCTCAGAAGCTTGACGTTGTTGCTCCTTCTCGGCGTCCTTCTCTTTCTTCTGAGACTCCTTTAAAGCATCTTTTTCTCGACGAGCTGCTTCCTTGAGCGCCTTCTCAGACTCCTTTTGCGCACGCTTTTGACGCTTCTCGACGAGTTTCTCGCGTTCTCGTATGGCTTTGGCATGGTCCTTTACGGCGTTATCATAAGCACGACGTAGACGCTTAACCTCACGTTCCACTTGCTTGCGCTCGTCTTTCTCGGTATATAGACTTGGATCGGGAAACTCAGGGACTATAGGGGGGTCCGGGAGGGGAGGTAGGTCAGCATCTACTTTCTGTGGCTCTGCATCATTCGACTCTACAGAAGCGATAGGATCTTGGTCTTGTGGTGTAGGGGAAATGGTATCTTGAGGTGGTGGGGAAGTGATGTCCTCGTCGATGGGGGTGGGGTCTATGCTGTGCATGGAAAGTCGGTTCATGCCAGAAGTAACCGACTCATCTTCACGAGAGGAGCTGCCTTTGATCGTGGTGCTTGATGCGTGGGCGTTCAAAGTTTTGGTCTCTGCATCTAGTAGCGTTTGATGATTTTTGGAGTTGCCCATTGTATCACGGTGCTCCAAAGTGATACTCGGCATAGGACTCTCTTGGCGCGCGTACAGGTGGTTTGCGTCCTCGGTGTTCACTCTGTTTGGCGAAAAGTCTAGCTCGACAGACGAGGAAGACGCTGAACTTTGTGATAAATTGAGACCTGCCTCTGGAGAAGTTGGATTCTCTGATCGAGGGCTACCCACCTTGGGGGTATCTTTGGGTGGTTTTGGACGGCCGGTACATAGAGTGTAGTAGTTAACGAAGCGTACCCTCGCCATGCGCTGAGACGACCCTGGTTTTATGTCTCCTGGCTGGAACTCGTCAACATCCTCAAGGGCACGAATGTTGCTGTATCGTGCCTCGAGTCCTGCCGGATCAGCTAGACAACTGCCAAACTCGAGGTATGAGAAGATATGTCTAGCAGCAGCTTGTATCAGATTCTCGTTACGATACTTGTTGGCAAAATGAAACATCCTTTGGACAAAGGGTCGTTCTTGCAGGCCTGAATCGTTGAAGAAAGGTTGATTGAAGAAGGGCTGGTTCTGAAGTTGATCGCGTGGAGGCCGGGAAGAGGATGCCACTGAAGGAATACTGGTCGATGATCCTAGACCGGAGCTCTCAGAGTTTGTGAGATACAACGAAGAGACACTGGGGTCTGCTAGACTTGAAGTCTCAGGGCTGCCAGGAACTGCAGTCCCTTGATCATCATCTGGAGGTGGTGTAGGTGCTGGTTTGAATAGACTGGATATGCCAGACACAACGATGCCTGGATGAAGACCAATGAATGGGCAATCTAGAGATACATGGCCGATGATTCGATGCTTCAAAGGGTAAGTTCCATGTGGATCTGGGTTGGGCTGTGGTTGAGTTTAGCAATGTTTGTGTATAGAGCAAGTGGAATATATACATACCATGAGAACAACATCAGCAGCCAGGATACCACCCATGGAGTGGCCGACGAGGATGACATCTGTTGTAGGTGATTCGTGAGGGCGAAGCCATTCGCTAAAATTATCACGAGCAACATCTACAGAGCGATAAGTCTTGTAGCGTGGATATATCTTTGAATGGATGACATGAGAGTCTGCGAGGAGGTTGGCGAGTAAGGCATGGACATGAGCAGGAAACGATCGAAACGATTGGTCATTACCCAGAAACCCATGAATATAAATGATGAGCAGTTTTCGACGCCCTAGAAAATCTCCATGAGGCGTGGACAGGTTGTCTAGAGAGGTGTCTGGTAACAAAGACTGAGTAGATGAAGATCGTGGATCTGGCCCGAGCCACTGCCCTGGAGCTGAGGTTGAGGATGATATTGACATATATGGCCCTGAAGAAGATGGTAATGAAGGTGGTGATTGGTATGTAGCTGGAACAGAAGAGTTGACTGGCTTTCTTGGTGGTACTGGAGGCATTTCTGAGTATGCCGGTGGGGGTGACGAGGAGGGATCCATGATGGTTGATAGAATAAGAGACTTTATTGTATGAGAACAAGGTTGCTTCTTTGAGCTTAACCGTATGACTTGAGGGGAAAAGTCAGTATTAGACGTTGAAAACCGTGAAAACCCACCAAATGCTAAGTTGACGTTGAATGGGGTGACGAGATGCAGGTTAACGATTAGTAGTAGTGATAGTGATAAAACAAAACGTGGGGTAATTCCTGGTCCCTGAAGAGGCTGTGCCTTGTTTGGTTGATGTTGAACAAAAAAATTGCCAAATTAGATCAATTTGTACCTGTTTTTATTGGGTAGAATCAAAAACACTTTATTAGTGAAGATCTGAAACGAGTAATATAGTGTGCACTATTCCGAATAGATACTGCCAACTTTTGACTACGTACGATGTACCACCTTTCTAATCGAGGTCTATACGCGTATAAAGAACACAGCGAGCTTTTCAAGCTAAACTCGTTTATTAGTCAAAACATCAAATTCATGAAAGGTATGAAGAACTAGTTGATTAGATCATGTGAAAAACATCGAACAGTAATTCCAGGTCGTTGTTGGACATATACACAACAGTTGTAAAAACAGACATTAATGCCGATAGAGAGATGGGACAAGCCTACCTGAGAAAACGAGAGGCATATCAGTATGAATCTTCAAATAACAGGCAAATTTGATCTAATAAATGCTTTAAAGAAACACTACGTGAGGCCCGTCGGTGCCACCGGTCTGCTAGTATCCGCCAGTGTTTGCCAGCTGTCAGTGAATCACAGCCGAGCTGCCATGGAGTGAATCAAAGTTAGCAAGCAGTCTTCCTCTCCTTCACAAACTGCTCTCTTATCTCGAAAAGATGGCAGCAGCAGCGCTCGAGAACATCCCTATAGAGACTGTGCAGCAAATCGCATCCTTCCTCAATTACAAGGACATCAGAGACCTCTCATCCACATGCCGTCCACTTCGATCAAATCTGTATCGCTTGCTATGGTCCTGTATCTCGGTCCACGGTGGTAAGCATGGGCTACTGCGTCATCTGAAGACATTTGACCCCGAATCGGAAGATGGTCATGCAACTCTTGCACTCGTCAAGTCAAGAACATGATGCGGCCTTGTTATCACATCGATCAATGGGATATGCTGAAACATCCTGTTTATCCCCAGTGCCATGTTTTGATACCACGAGCGATCATGCAGACGCTGCGGACCATGACCTCCCTCGAGTCGTTGCATCTTAACGTTTTGATGCTTTCAGCGCAGCAGGAGGCCGTGGTTCTAGATCTCCTGCAAGAAAAACCGGGCTTTAAACTCCAACATTTGACCATTCGGGTGGGATTCAAGGTCGCGGAGTCATTCATTCTGAAATGCTCGCATGAACTGAGATCCCCGGATACAGATGTTTCCAGCAGTGTGTTCAAGTCCAAAAAACTAGAGAGCCTTCGGATACACCTTTACTACACTCAAATTAGTGGCCTGCTCTATCAATATCCATCCTTTCTCGACGAAGAAAATTATGGGATGCCGTCGCTACGCAACATCAGCAATGACTTTCCAGCTCTCAAGACTCTCATCTTTCATGAGACCAGGGAATACAATATGAATTCAAGCAATGCCGACCCGGTATGTCTCCTTACGTATGCGTAGCCCAGCTTACTGACTCTTCATTCAATAGAACATAGTGACGGCCATTATCGCCAGCACATTGAGGAAAAGATATCGGTGTCTGGAACGCCTTGCCTTTACTTCTACCTGGATGCAAGCTTATGACATTGAGTTCAATGAAACATTTTTTTTCACAGCCTAGTGGGACGTATTGCTCAGAGACACCGTGCATTGAAAGAGGTGTGTGTTCTTGTCGAGCCACCTCAGTTCTACCAATGGAAGAGGGGCCAAGGTATCACAGTTCGAAGCTTCCACGAGATGCCTAATCCTAATGGGTTCCCATCTGGAGTTGAGGAATAGATGAGATATCACTGGATGGGTCATTTGGTCATTGTAACACACGTGAACAACTATGGATAGGTACTTTCTATTGCGATATCGGGTGTGCAAGCCTGAGGGAGTCAGAAAAGGTCGGCTGCAAAGAGCATAAGGGACGAAATTAGTCAGCCAGTTTATGTTACTTAGATAAGACTTCTTAGGGTGTTTATGTCTGTACCTTGATACATAGGAGCAACATCGGACGCTCAAGATCTATGCGCTCTTTCATTCGTCACATCTGCCAGTCTTAGATATGTCCATGTTCTATTCTCTCGTACGGGCGATGATGAAATAAACCTTGATCGACTATTATGTATGTAGGGTAGGGACAGTGAGTAAGGGTTGGCTGTTGTCCCAGATGCCATCTGATAAAAGCTATATTATTGTAGAGTTTCTTGACGACACAAACATCTGAAAACATGAGCCCTAAAAACCACGTTCCCATACAGACTCTTATGGTATCCCACAAACCATGAAACGGTATGTGGGAGCGCATGGTCGTCAGCTGTATCTGCCCAGACCCCATTTCGAGCGCACCCGCTCACCCGTTCAACCGCACAAAACATGGGTGAATTTATAGCAAACCGACTACGAAACAATAGTTTGCCAAGTGTTTGAATAGTAGCGGTAGCAGAGGTCAGTTTTTATCCGTATATACGAGATAATAAGCACCAGGACCCGCCGAACCGTAGGCCGAAGCTTCTATAGTGCTCCAGATATACAGACGACAAAGACTTTTAAACGAAGAGGACAAGCATTAAGCAGTGACCCGCTGTCGCAGGGCGCTCAGGTCGTCACAGACCAGGGCAGTACTTTTGTACGGTACCCATAACATGGATGTCATGGCCTAGGCTCATCGGTCTGTGTGTTATTTTTGGCATACTTCCTCTTAAGACCTGGGTCGTCTTGGAAATTGGATCATGATTAGCTGGATGCAATTCCAGTCCTGGTTCCAGTGACATGCAAGCAGAAAAGGAGAGACAGAGAAAGAGAGGCTCTTGCTACGTAGTAGACAGTCTGGCATGTTTAAACACTTCAACAGGTTTGACGTTACATGAGTTAGATTGTCGGGTATTTTTCATGACGATCTATCTAACCCACCAAAGAAGCATCGATGCTGATCAATAACTTGAAAGTCTAAAGATGATACAATCCGAAAACTCTACTATCGACTTTTGCAAGATTGACAGCTGCTGAGGCCAGTGGCCAGGAACGCCTACCTACCTCCTTTACTCCTTTACAGCACGACAAACCCCATGTCAAGACCTCTATAATTAGGGCAATTATTGTCAACAAAACAACAACAATTGACCAGAGAAAAAGAGCACAGTCAGTGCCAAGCTTTGAATCGAATCTCAAATGTCATATTAGCCCCGATTCGTCAAGTCTTCCGTGACACGCGCGTGCTCAAGGAACCCCTCAAGTCTAATTTCCCCCGAGTGCGTTGCTTCATCCACTTTCTGAGCAATGAGAATGGAAATGACTGGGTGTCATACGAGAGGATCACCCCTGGCTTGGACTGGATATTATGGGCCATTGCTTTCCTCACTAGTCAGAGATTCTCTTTCGGCCACAGCAACACATAAAGAGGAGCTTGTTATTATAGTAGTAAATAAGACCATATAGGTAAAAGCGCCAGGAACATGCGTTTTACCAGTGTGTTTTAACTATTGGATGGGATAGCGTCAGGGACCGGAAAGGGGGCCACCGTCTGAGCGGCTGTTAGACAGGTAGCGAATTGAGCTATGCCCTTGAGTTCGCAGCCAAAAGCAAAAAGAGGACGGAAAGAGGAGACAAACCTGCAAGGTACAGGACGTTACCCTGGTCTTTAGGTGCAGTTGTGGCTCATGTGTGGGACGAAAAAGGTACAGCTCATGCAGCATGTTTCCTTGTAGCTGATGCGCATTGCTTTTGCTGGGGACAATTGTTCAAGCGTGACTTTTGACAGACAAAGCAAATCTCATCTAGTACCACGTCGTACAGCAGATGTATAGTCTCCGCAGTTGGAGGATATGGCCAAGGTGAAATCCTGTTGGTCAGAGACAGAATTAGCATCACACCAACCAGAGTATGAGATGGTCAATAGCACGTGTATTTCAGCAGCAGCCTCAAGCTAGCACTCCTTCGAATCATGTTTCTTGTCGTATTCCGTGGAGACAGGCTAAGAAATTAATGGAGCTTAACTGATGGCCCCCCATGTCGTTATGTCGTACGTCTGGTTGACGGTGATTGGCTTCTTGATTGAACCTCATCTCAAGCGAGATTATCTCCCATCTCGGGGCCATCCCATAACCGCTCATCGTCAAGGTCTAGTTGAACCCAGGCATGATCGCCGTGTTGTGGAAGGGAAACGCTCCGGGTGGTGAAGAACCAGGACCCCAGTTTGATCCATGCCTTTAGTAGTAGGTATGTATGCACAGCAGGTAATACAGTAAAAGACAGGTACCTACAGTAGGTACCTGCGTAGGTAGTAGGGACGCACGACCTCTGGAAAAAGGGTCACCACCAGAGACTGAAAGAGAGAAGCTCGTGTTGTGTTTGTGCTGTGTCGGGTTCATTTTAGTAGGCTCCTCCCGCTTTGTCTCTGTCTTTGCTTCTTGTCTTGTCTCTCTTTTTGCCCCGTCCGCTCTCCATCGATCTTTCTTGCCTTCTCTATCGTCCGTGACAAGACCAACTCTAATACTCTCTTTCAATTTGTTATTTGTTTTTATTTTCTCTCTTTCGCTTCTTATTCATTCTCTCTCTATTTTTCGTTTCCGACAGTATTTCTCTTTTCTTCTTCTCTTTCTTCTCTCCCTCTGTCATTCCTTTTTTTGAAACGAACTTGGACGAACAAAATTACGACTTTCACGACGACAACATCAATAAACAACAACAATTATCGTTCCCTATTTGTGTTATCGTCGATAATCGTAATTGGGAAACCTGGGATTGAAGAAGAAGGGAAAAGAAGAAATAAATCGAAGAACCGAACAGAAAAAGAGAGCTGGGCTATGCAAAAAGACGAATGCAAGGAAACCACCACGCAATTACAACAAGCACAATACATCACTCACGATAACCCCCTGTCGCTCGTTAATTCCTGGACTCTCCGACCAACCGATATTAACATTGACGGAACAAACCTCAAGGAACCCAAGAGAACCAAACAAAGAAAAGTGCAAGGGGCGAAATATCCTCTGAACTACCATTTTTAGGACCTCGTCCCTTGTTCTCCATCTCCGCCCACAACAGTTCATACCTTTATCTGTTTCGTGAGCGTTGAGTCAGTGAGATCAGTACTTGTGTCATCTTTTTTGACTTGGTTATCTCTTCTCTGCAGGTTGACGGATCATGTGCTTTGTTGAATCAGCAATCAGCAATTGACTTTTACACTCGTTTCCTTTCCATCCCCTTGCTCGTGCTCCGTTATTCTGGAAAAAACACCTCAAGAAAGAAGCGAGCTAGGAAAATACGAATTGGCTACGTCTAGACCCATTCATTTATCCTGCACTCATCGACACAATTGGCAAAGACATTCTCTCAAAAAAACCGACACTAGTCAACAAGATCGCCGCATCGGGACCATTTCGACTCTCCCTGTTCCCCAAAAAAGAACAAAGAACCACTCAGTTCTTTCAATTCGTGTTGTTATTTTAGGGTACCCGTTGCTGAAACCGGCTGGTGCACGTCCCCTGCGTTAGTTGGCTAGGCTGGACTGCAACGTCCACCTTTACGCAATTCCTCAGGGTCAGCGTCCACTAAAACTACAGCACTCACCAGCACTCGACAGCTAGTGAGAACTGAGAATCGGTCCATCATTGCCACGTCCCCTAACCCGACCAAACGGGCCACGCCCGCGGCCACGACGCATTCAATCTGATTTGATCCAACTAATGACTTACTCATCCAGCGGGCCTTCACTCGCTCAGGTCCTGGATATGGATTTGGACATGGCTTTGGATATGGATCAGGATTCCCCCAGCAGGAATAGGGATAGGGATAATATCCATGTCGATCAATCGCCATCAACCCTGTCTCGCTCAAAATCACCTTCCTTTTCCTCCTCGGATCTGTCCGAACCGCAATCGTTCCAACATCATCACTCTCGCTCTGCTTCAAATCGCCACGACCACTCTCGTTCCACCAAAACCGAAAAGTCAATCACTCACAATATCCTCCACCGAGCCCATCTTCAATTGCATCGACTCGAAACAGTTGATGATAAAAACATCGACGAACCAGCCGATCACACTCATTCCCAGTTCCACAAGACCGGCCACCATTCCCACCACTCTCACCAACGTCTACATCGAAGCATTTCGCCAGCCAACCTCCGCCAGCGCGCTGCCACGCCCGAAAACTTTCAAGCTCACGCTCACGCCGACCCCAATGCCCTAAAGCCTCGTGCTGAGCAGGACCTTTTCACACAGGTTGTCCAGACTGTGTCGGTTATCCAGGTTGTCGACGCGGCCGGCTCACCCATCGAAGTCCAAACCCACTTTGCACCACCTGCTACCGTCGTCGTGGATTCTGCCTCGGGCATCACCGTCGCCGCCATTTCTGACCCGGAGCCCAAGCTGTCCGCGGCGGCCGCGGTGTCGGATCCAGCTCCAGCTTCAGCTCCAGCTGCAGCTGAGAGCTACAATGTCCCGTCACCACCTGCTGCCGCCCCGACCGCCGTGGAAACACCCGGTTTGACCAATCCGTTACCGTCTGCACAAATCCCAGATGCGACCGTATCCGATTCAGTCCCTGAGCCTGTAAACGACACAACGGTGCTTCCCACAGCCGACCTGCCATCCGACCTGGTCCCTCCAACCAACCCCGTGACGTCTACGGACCCTGATTTAGCGAGTCAAGAAACAACGTCACCAGCTGCGCCCACTACCGATGTTGACACAACGGTTACGGATGCTAGTGGGTCGGAGACTCTCGTAACCACCGGTACGAATATTCGCCCCTCCTATTTATAGATAGTTAGAGTTTATGACCATGTGATG